AGATGGTGCAGTGGTTAAGAGCACTAGCTGCTCTTGCAGAGGACCTGGGTTCAGTTCCCAGCACCTACATAGGGACCAACAACCGTCCATAACTCCAGTTCCAGGGGGAGCCAGTGCCTTCTTCTGAACTCCAAGGGCATTGCACAACACAGGTAAACTTACAGACATTCAGGCAATACACTCATACACATAAAAAAAATAAAATATTTTTTAAAATACTTTAATTTCCTACCACAGGGCCACCCTGATAACCCCCCAAATCCTTCTTTTTAATGATGAAATCCATTCTTCATATTTTACTGTGTATGCAGTTAGAAACCACAGAGAACCTTGAATGCTTTCCTACTGGGATGTGTTTTCATCATGCCTGCTTCCACCAGAACCCTGGGGCTTGACTCACTTAGCCACCTTCTTTGCTGTGTTATAACAAGGATGCTCCAGTTTCCAAAGCCTTCCTTACTTCCATCTGAGACCTCATCAGAGTAACCTTTCCCATTCCCGTTTCTGCCAACATCCTGTTTGTGGCCACATCAGTCATCTCTAAAGTAATTTCAGAACTTCCCTACTATTCTTTCTTTCCAAGTTGTCCGTCACATGCCATTAAGAGCAATTTAGGTTTTTCCACTCCTACTCCTCCAAATTCCCCACCACCGCCACCCATTAATTTGTTCCAAAACTTCTCTCACATTTTCACATATTTGTAATGTCAACATCACTCTCTGTTATCTGTTTTCTGACTTAATCCATTTTGTGCTGCTATAACAGAATATCACAGACTGGATAATTTATAAAGAAGAGAAAGTTTAAGACATGGTTCTTGAAACTGGGAAGCCCAAGATGAAGAGAGCAGCATCTAGCAAGGGCCTTCTGGTCAGATCATCCCATGGCAAATGGGTGAAGGGCAAGAGAAAGCGAGAGGGGACGGAACTAAACTTCTGTAACTGCACCAGTCAGCCATGAGCATAGTCCTGCCTCCCATCATCAAAATGGCAATTAACTTTCAGCATAAGCTTTAGGGGGAAATATGCAATTCATAGTAGTTTCTAACTCAAGATATCTGTAAGTATACATATACACATATAAACCTGAAACAGAATTCTTTAAATTATATGTTGTATGGGGCAGCAAGATGGTTCAGCAGGTTGAGACACTTGCTGCCAAACTTGAAGAACTGAATTCAGTACTTGGAATCCACACACTGTAAGGAGAGAACTGACTCTCACAGGTTGTCCTCTAACCTCTACATACGTGCCTTGGCATGAGTGCATGTGTGCATCCATACACATATGCACATATACACACAAATAAATGTAATTTTTAAAAATTTAAGTTTTCCTTTTAATTGTCTGTTTTGAGTTCAATTGCTGTATCATAAACTACTTCAAGGGACTGGTGAGATGGCTCAGCAGTTAAGAGTACTGATTGCTCTTGCAGAGGACATGGGTTCAATTCCCAGCACCCACATGGTGGCTATCAACTGTCCAAAACTCCAGTTCCAGGGGATCTGACACCCTCTTTGTCCTCTACAGGCACTGCACACCATGGGTACACTTATATACGTGCAGGCAATACACTCATACACAATAAATAATAATAAATAAATTAATTAAATAAATAAATAAATAATAAACTACTTCAAAAGTTGGTTACTTTAGAACAAAAATTGCTCACATATCTACAATCCAGACAGGACTCAAGTGGTGATGCTGAGACTGAAGGAGTTCATGTGACTCTCATTCTGCTGGTAATGTTGTGCTGGCCATCAGAGGGGTCAGTCAGGGCTGTGGGTTGCATCCTTTCCAGGAACTCCTTAGTTTCTAAGAAGGAAAGTGGAAATCGAAGGCATTTATATGATCTAATTTCAGAAAATACCTCCTGTCACATTTGCCAGGTCTATGGAGTAAATGTTTAGTCTTTTCTTCAAAATGATTGAAATCCTAACCCAGTATGATTAAGTATTAGACAGCAGGGCCTTTGGGAGGTGATTAGGTCATGAGTGTGGAACCCCCTAAGATGCTGTTAGTGCCTTGATTATAAAGGTGATTTCAGAGAGAGTGTGTGTATGCTTTCGTATTCTCTCTCCTTCCTCCCTCTCTCCCTCCCTCCCTTCCCTCTCCTCCTCCTGAACCTCCTCTTCCTCTTCCTCCTCCTCTTCCTCTCTTCCCCCTCCCCTTCCTCCTCCTCCTCCTCTCATATCTGAAATCTGGAAAATGTCTCTTACTAGAACCCAACCATGCTGGCACTCTTATCTCCTACTTTCAACCCTCAGAACTGTGAGAGATCAATTTCTGTTGCTTTTGAGCCCCCTAGTCTATGGTACTAAGATTGACACTAAGACACTCTTATTTTATTGACTGAAGCACTCACAAAGTTCCATCCAGGTTTGTGAAAGGTGACAAAGACTATACCCCTCCTCAGCAGACAAAGCGTCAAGGTTACTTTGCAAAAATACATGGAGCAGAAGTTACTTGGGGCATCCATAGACAATGCAGCCGGCATATTATCCTTACCTTGTGCCCCACTGTATAATCCTGAACCATCCTGTGCCATGCTGTAGCATAAGCAGCAAAATTCTCATGTAGTCTCTTTTACCAGGTTTTGATATGGATGGTTACTTCTAAAAATTGTGTTAAAAATCCATTGTTGGTTCCCCACCCTCAGTTTGAAAAATACATCCTATTTGATTATAAAATAGAGACAATTTTAATAGTGATCATGGAACTTATTGAAATAGAAGGGAAAGATTAAAATGAAAATGTTCGTGAAAGTGAACTGTGCTTTTGCTTCTTCATAAATGTTCCTTGGAGCGAGATTTGGCAATCTCTGCTGAGTTCATTTTCAACTGTCAAAATTTTACATCAGTGGCTAAGATCAAAATGAAATCATTAATACAAAACCAAGGTTCCTTTTTAACGTAGAAAAATATTTTTTAACTTACCAATATCTGTGTACATAATCAAGTGTTAAAAACTATTTTAGCCAGGGGTAGTGGTGCGTATCTTTAATCCCAGCACTTCAGAGGCAGAGGCAGGTGGATCTCTCTGAGTTCAAGGCCAACCTGGTCTACATAGTGAGTTCCAGGCCAGCTAGGGCTATACAGAGACCCTGTCTCAAAAAGATTTTTTAAAAAGTTTTAATTTGTATTTCTTCTGTATTTCTTCTGTACCTGTTCATACAAAGAAAGCCTTTTGACTACAGACTTAGTTTCTTTTGACCAGAGCTCTTCACATGTACCTAGTACAAAAAACAGTCATCTAAATCCTTGCTCCTCTTGGACCAGTTGCATATGGGTCTTAAATGCTTGATGCAAAGATAGGATTTGATGCCAACTCTAAACCTGATATATCTACATTGAATAAGATGCCTCAATACATTCTTGAAAACATCCAAGTTTCAGTATGAATAAGAGGCAAGAATCAAATGGGAAATCATGAACATAAAAATAAAATACAGAAATGAGAGCTTCATAATAACTATTTTGTTGAAGGTTCACTTTAATCAGAAATAGCCTCCAGATGAATTTAATACCTCACTTTGATTTGAATTCAGAAACCTTCTCTAACGCTAATATTCAGTTGAATGTTGCACAACAAATTCGTGGTTGAAGTTTTATGAGAGGGAAAAAGACATCATTTTGATGTTTACTTTGTTTTCTCTCAAAATGGGGATAATATTCAAATGAAACCAGTACATCAAATAAATGCTGTTAATTCAAAAATTCTAAGCCGGGTGTTATGTTACACACCTGTAGTGCCAGCCCACAGGAAGCTGAAGTAGTAGGCCCAGTTTAAGCCCAGCTAAGCTACATAGTTATAGTCTATCAAGCAAGTAAGCAAGCAATGGACAGTGATATGGAGGAGGGAAATTAATGATGCAGCCTAACAAAATGTCTTTACAGTAATCCCAGAAAGTGCTGCTGTCCTCATTTAGTGACAATGAAATTGAAACCAGAGGAAATACAATCAGCCACATGGCTAGCCAGTGAAGTCCAAAACTGCACTAAACATTAAAACAGGTCTTTAGAGCATCGAAAGATAAAATTAGGTTGTATTAAGCACAGATAACAGCAGCCACGAGGAAGCCTGAAGTGGGTAAGGGGCAGCCACTCCCTAACAGACCCCTCACCAGAGTGTGGTGAAAACCACCCTCAGCTCTCTTCTCCATGTATTCCCAAACTTTGTACTAGCAAACAAGTTCAAAGCAACACTGACTTTATTGTGTACGCCATAGGTCTCTTCTTTATTGTTTCAGTTCCTACCAGTACCCATCCCAGAAAGATGCAGTTGTCTTTTGTATGTGCACAATTAGTCTACAAGTCCCATAGATTCCAAATGAGGCGCTCAAGTCCCTTACATAAAATGACACAATGCTTGCATGTATAACCGATGCACATCTTCCCATGCACCAAATCATAATCTCTAGATTCCTTCTAACATTTAATACAGTATAAATGCTGTGTGAGAAATATAGACTATAATGTTTGAAGAATTCCAAGAAAAATATCTGTATCTGTTTAGTACAGGCAAGCGGGGGGGGGGTGCTTTGATTTACGGTTAGTTGACTCCAAAGATGCAGAGATGAACCACACTGTACTTGAGTCAACCTGACAATATTCCAGACATAGGATTCTGTTACTCTCAGTAGTCGGCTTCTGGTCCAGATCCTGTCATCTACTGGCAGGTTACAGGATCAGCCACATAGCTACTATGGATTAACTGGATTCTTATTCCTTTTTCTTAGAAGGCCAGAAAATCCACCTGCATGCCTAAATCTCACAAGTAGTATCTATTTCCTAAATGTATTTTCCTGATTAATAAGCCATTAATTAGTTTATAACTTAATCAGTGGATGACTGGGGTATTGTTTAAATAGCCACTTTTAGTGTGGCCAACTTAGAGACTAGTTGATCACTCCTGAACCATATATTTCTCACTGCCCTTGGGGTTTAATAAACAAAAACTCACATTTATAGCATATACTGTATTGTCAATTACTCATAGGTCAAAGTAAGGGAGACCAGTGAATGAGCCCAGACAGTGTGTGCAGTGGAAGCTGAGTGAGTGGCCGTCGCAGGAGAATCTGGTACCATGTTGTTTGTCTTTAGTTGTCACTAGGCTGTTTCATGTGTTGGATTTAGCTTCTTAATCAGATCAGAGCTTGATCAGATCGGATCACTTGGCTTCCCTAATTAGAAATTCTTGGAGTGAGAAAATCATATCTATGTTATTCTTCCAAAGTGGCCAGTATATTGCTAGCTGCATATAGTTACATAAAGACCTAGAATTAATTCTTCTTAATTACTAAAATCTACAGCAGTATCTTCCTCATTTCATCCTTATTTCATCATTAAGACTAAGTATTTGCTATAAAATTCTAAGTACTTCAGTAGTTTAAAAACCTAAAAATCTGTGGGCTGAGGAGATGGCTTCCTGGTCAAAGCGCTTGCCACACACGCATGAGGACCTGAATTCAAATCCCCAGAACCCACATCAAGCTGGCATGGGAGCAATAGCATGTATTTTAATCCCAGTGCTCCTAGAGTGAAATGGGAAGTAAACAAAGAAGAAATACCTGGAATCTCATGGCCCAGCCTGAAGTGTAATTCCAGTTTCAAGGGATTCAACACCTTCAATACCGCCTACCTCTGAGGACATTGCATGGCACAGGTGCACTTACACGCATGCAGGCAATATACTCATACACAAAAAATAAAATCTAATGCATTAAAAAGTGCCAGACTCCCTTGATATGAAATGATTTGGCTCAATTTAGAATTGCAGTGAGTGAAAGGAATGGTATGCAGACATTTTGTATAAAGTTTTTTCTCACCTATTAACAATCTTGGTTCCCATTTAAGCTTCATCGGTAATACATATAATTATGAATTATAATATGCAAACATAAATAGTGATATTGGGCTACATTTCAGAGTTTTCTTGAATTTATCCATTTGCACCAAATTCATTTTGAGCATCAATGCCAAATTTAATGTGAGGGTCAGTTCCACCAGCTCTTACCAGCACGGTAAAATTTCACTCTAGAGCGCTTTAACTAGATGGGCTGCATGTTGTCTCAGCAAGGAGAGCTTTTCATATTTAATATGTATTCAGTGCACCTCACTGCAGGGAGTGCGCAATGTCTGGTCTTGTTTCACAACGGCACCCAGCCACACTGCCAACCTGCGGCCCCACCCCAGTCCAGAGAGCCCTCATTGAATCGCCTGCTCTGTCTTTATACAACTGTGTGAGATTTAAAAACCTGTTAAGATTTTAGCTGTGGGGGTCAGGAATGTAGTTCCCTTGATAGAATGCATGCCTAGGGTACCTGAAGCCCTGGGTTTGATCCCCAGTACTGGATAAACCAGGCATGGTAGTCCATACCTGTAAACCTGGCACTCAGGAGGAGAGGGCAGGAGGATCAGAAGTTCAAGGTTCTGCTCAGCTACATAGTAAGTTGCAGGCCAGGAAAGATTGTAGCCTTTGAAGCAGTTATGGAGACAAGAAAGGACAGGACTAGCTGAATAGTTACAGTGTTCCCCTGGTGAGTTTAAAAGTCTAGTGAGGTCAGAGAACCCTTAAATCAGCAGTTTCTGCTGCACTTGCATAGAGATTAAAAAGCTCCTCCCCCATACTAATTTACTGCAGGATCCCCTAGGCAAGAATCTTCCTACTGCATCTGAGAAGCAAGGGTTCAACAGTTATGGTAGAGAGCCACTCCCTAGATTCACTGTGTTCCTTCCCAGTTCACATACAGTAACACAGAACAGTGTATGTTCAGAATCTCAAGGACAGTTCTAATCCCAGTGTGTGCTATGTAAACCCTAGCAGGAGAGAAATAATTCTTCCTTGGTTCCAGAGTAAGCTTGGTACACACACACACACTATTATTCTGTTAAAAATTTTCAATTTAGGTACATTTCAATTTAGGTAAATCTAGTTCCGTATTCATCATGAGATTTTAAACTTTGGTGGCGGTTAACTATATTTTCTTTATCACATTTTGTATTTTTTTCAACTTAAAATGTTTTCTACAAAAAAAAAATCCAACTTGAATTTCTGTGAAACAGCATGGTAAAACAGTAAAGCTAAAATCTCTGACTCCAAGTGAAGCTAAATTTAACACATTTTACTACAACTCCTTATATCCTTAAAATGGTTCTAGACTAAATTCTTCAATGTCCACTATAAATACATAGTGAATTGTCTGTGATATGCGAATGGTTTGAGATCTAGGTAATTTCAATTATAGCCATTAATAATTCTTTAATCTTTTTATCTTTCAGATTCACATGATTTCTTCCTTTGTAATTTTCTTCCCAGCCGTGATTGAATTGTTGGTACCATATATGCGATTAATTTATTGATTGATTTTGTTAAAGCTAGGTGAATGACTAATGGTTCTTTTATCCCTTTGGGTACTTAAGCTTCCACTATTTGCTGAAATTGTGGCTTATCAATTATCCTGGTATCCATAAATACAGAATAGAACACATAAATGTATAAAAATAAAGGACACGTGAGAACTTAGATTGTCACTTCCTTGAGATTTGGTCTGGTTAATAACAAATTGAGTACAGCCTCAGTCACATGACCTAGAGCTGGTTTCCACACGTGCTTTTCACTAACTATTAACATTCACCTGGAAGCTTGTGTCAAGCATCCTACCTTCTTAAGACTGATTAACTCACAGCAGGAGAAAATGGGCATTAAGGTCACTGTTAATGGGAGGTTAGTGGCCTGTGGCTGAGGGAAAATTGCCTGGGAAATGCATTTGCCCTTCAAGCTCAAAACCCAGAAAACTTGTGCCAGGACTAGCTGTGGGATTTGGAATTTCAACAAGTTGGTGATATTGTAATAACTAATATAATTAAATTATATTAACCACAAAGATAATAAATACCCAAAACATCATTCCTAAGTATTTTACCATTTTCTATGCTCTTGTGTGACATCTCAGTTGAAGCTGTTGGGAGTAATACTAGAGTAATGTGCAGCTCTGTGTCTTTTTCTACTTTGTGTTCAGGAACTTACAAGTAGCTTAAAATCAACCATGGCAAGAGCATTTACACCGTGAAAATTGACAAATGCTATAAATCAGGACTTGATTTTTTTTTTAAATTTTGTTGCTTGTCTGTGAGTAAGAAAATAGTGAAAGGGGCTGGAGAGATGACTCACAGGTTAAGAACTTGCTGCTCTTGCAGAGGACCCAAGTTGGATTCCCAGTACTCCCATAGCAGCTCACAACCATCTCAGTTCCAGTTCCAGGGAGATCTGATGCCCTCTTCTGGCCACTGCAGGCATTGCCGGTGAACACAAATACCCATAAAATAAAAATAATAAAATTTTTATAAAAGAAATGTAGAAAATGTTATTTCAAGTTAAGTTTAAAAAGTATGCATGGTAGTAACAAAAAAATTCCATGAGGAAATTTTTCTTCTAATTTTCAAAAATGATCTGATGTTGATCATCTCATCGACAACTGAAGCTTCTAAACATGATCATTGTTTTGCTTTTTTCTAAGCTAGTAAACAGAAATGTCAGTCAGCATTCACAAAAGAACTCTAGCTGTTCAGCAGCTGCAGCCAGAGGTTGACTAGGGTAGAAGAGTCTGGAAAAACTCCTTAAAACCATTCTATGAAGACTAAATCAATTTTAGTGTGTATATGTGTACATGTGTATATGACATATGTGTGTGTGTGCCTGTGTGTGTAATATGTTTCTACATGTGTCCGGGGGGGGGCACACACCCAAGTACACAAAGACCAGAGGAAGACATTGTTTTTTTAAAATATATTATTTATTTATTCTTTTTATGTGTATGAGTGTATTGCCTGCATGTATGTGAGTGCACCCGTGTTGTGCAGTGCTGCAGAGGTCAGAAGAGAGGGTCTGATTCCCCTGGAACTAGAGTTAAGGACGGTTTGTAGCCACCATGTGGGTGCTGGGAATCAAACCTGGGTCCTCTGCAAGAGCAGTCAGTGCTTTTAACTGCTGAGCCATCTCTCCAACCCCGACATTGTCTTCTATGATGCTCCACCTCATTCCCTTAAGACCAGGCTCACAGAACCTGTTGTTCATCATGTTTGGGCTAGGCTGGCAGCCATTGCACCCCAGCAACCCTCCTGTCTCTGCCCCTGCCCCCAACACTGGTATTTACAGAGACCTGGCATCTGTGTGTGCTATTGATCCAAACTCAGGTCCTAATGCCTACACAGCAGATACTCTAACCAGAGCCGTTTCCCCATGTCCCATTTCTTTTTTAAAAGCATGTTTGTTATTTTTGTGCTTCTCATTTCTTATTTATAACAAATATCTTTGGTTTTTTTTCCTGTGATACCAGTTGTTAAACATTTGTCAGCACACCACTGCCTGTAAGGTATAATTGCTTTACAGACTTTGTGCCTGCCTGAACCAGAGTAAAGCCATGCCCCCCACCCCCCGCAACAGCATCACTTTGAATACAGTTGAAATAGTAAAATAACTTTCTATCCGATTGTTTAAAAAGAAGCAAAGGAGTGTGTTGGCTCTGTCTACTATTGAATTTTCTATGCTTTTCTGCTATTGAGTGAATACTTTTAAGAAATCTGCAAACAACCCAAAACCAGGTTGCAGATAAGTCACGCACTTTGCTGTAGTGTTATACGTGTACCCCTTTTGCTAAAAATTAGAAAATCCATTTCCAGCCATCTCTGACTTAGGGAGTAGAGTTTTCTCGTGAATAACAGAGAGCTGATACATTTTGCATATGAGTATGTCCAGCTAAGAAAACATTAAGGATTAAAATTGAGTAATTTCAGTTGGCCCCTTATTTCCTTAGACCAAATTAAAAATAAGTTAAGAGCTTATTGGTTTCTAGATTTGGCTTGCTTTCAACCTGAGCCACTCTCTAGAAATGCCCTTGTGATCTGTGGATTGCGTGCATATTTTTATATGCTCAGTGACTTGTCTGCTTTAATTGGTTTTGGATTGTTCCCACAATCTACGTTTCCGCATTACATTCCAGACCATAGAAGGTGGGGCTATTTTGTTGATTTTACCTTATAAATAAGCAAACGTTCTTTGACCTGCAAATTTTAAAGACAT